TACTGTGCCAGTGCACCCCCCTAACTTCCGGTTCATGCAGACTTTAGTATTTGAAATCATGCAATATGAACTGCAAATCCAATAGATTATGCAGCCAGTATTTTGTACGAGTCTGCTACAACTGCATATACTTTACACATTGATTCAGCAACAAATTTCAAGCTGATACATTCAGAGTGTGTGGATACAACCCATAAAATATGTCTGCTCCTAGTGTTGTGCTTTTGAGATAAAACAATTCCCTCTGTGTCACAAAAAAAGCATGGTTCAGAGGTTGTCTGCTTCACGAGCTCATGCGCTGAATTTATTACACAGATATTCTGTAGTTTACTTAACAGCTGAAAGAATTCACGCTCTTGTTCTGTATTCAGTTGCATCAGGACTCACACACTGATATATTCTGGAAGATTGTAGGAAAGATGAGGGGGTGGAGGACACTAATATGACAGCTTTTCTCAGTTTAACTGGGTTAGTGAAACTCCTGAGGTAGAAAGAAAGAAAGAAAGAAAGAAGGAAGGAAAGAAAGAAAGAAGGTAAGAAAGAAAGAAAGAAAGAAAGAAGGAAAGAAAGAAAGAAAGAAAGAAAGAAGGTAAGAAAGAAAGAAAGAAAGAAAGAAAAAAAGAAAGAAAGAAAGAAGGAAAGAAAGAAAGAAAGAAAGAAAGAAAGAAGGAAAAAAAAGAAAGAAAGAAAGAAAGAAAGAAAAGAAAGAAAAAAAGAAAGAAAGAATGAAAGAAAGAAAGAAAGAAAGAAAGAAAGAAAGAAGGAAAAAAAAGAAAGAAAGAAAGAAAGAAAGAAGGAAAAAGAAAGAAAGAAAGAAAGAAAGAAGGTAAGAAAGAAAGAAAGAAAGAAAGAAAGAAAAAAAAAGAAAGAAAGAAAGAAAAAAAAGAAAGAAAGAAAGGAAAGAAAGAAAGAAAGAAAGAAAGAAAGAAAGAAAGAAAGAAAGAAAGAAAGAAAGAAAGAAAAGAAAACCGCACACTTGAAAAAAATGGAGCCAAACTTGATTCCTCTTGAATTGGTAATTAGTGAGGATCGTCGTTTTTCTTCATTAAAAATTAATTAAAATGAAAATACAAAGGAGTGGACTCCCTTATTAGAGTGCCAAATCAGGTGGGCAACAAAACTGGCTTCTGGCTCCAAAAATAATGAGTAGATGTGCAAACAGACAAATTTGCACATCCCATCGGACTCGCTGAGACAGAAAGCCATTTTCACACCTGAGATAGGTGTAATGTGACTGGCAATTTCTGGATTTGTGCTGCAAGCCACGGTAAACATGTATTAACTGGGTCACTCTGTAAACGGGGGCCTTTTCCAGTTTTACAAAGTGATGCTGAAGTAAATATTTACAGTATTTTAAACTTTCTGTTAAACAATGTGTTTATAGAAATGCCAAGGTTGTGGCGTTTATGGCAGAATCAATACATTTCAATATGCAGTTTATGCCTATAAGGATATTAATTAAATCTGACAGGATACATCTTGTGTGTAGAATCATTAACATAGATATAAAATTAATTTTAAATAAATAAAGAGAATTAAACTAAATAAAATAAGTAGTTTTAAACTATAAAATAATAATAATAAAGAAGTGATATAAAGAATCCACTTTTTAATTTTTGGTAGCTTTTTCAAAATAATGCTAACAGTTTTTCTCCCCTGAATAAAACCGATAAAATTGAAATCAACATGCTGAAAAACATAAAAAATATAAAATAATCTTTAAAGGTCCCGTGGAGTGTATTGAAATGTGCACTTTTTTATTATAAGTTTGACATAGTTTCAACTAAAACAAGAAGACATTGCACTCACCAGCCACTTTATTAAGTACACCTGTTCAACTGCTCGTTAACGCAAATCTAATCAGCCAATCACATGGCAGCAACTTAGTGTATTTAGGCATGTAGACATCATCAACACGATCTGCTGCAGTAACTCAAATAACCACTCATTACAACTGAGGTATGCAGAAGAGCATCTCTGAGTGCATAACATGTCAAACCTTGAGTCAGATGGGCTACACCAGCAGAAGACCACAGGGTGCCACTCCTGTCTGCTAAGAACAGGAAACTGAAGCAACAATTCACATAGGCCAGAATTGGACAATGGAAGATTGGAAAAACGTTGCCTCGTCTGATGAGTCTTGATTGAGACATTCGGATGTCTACTGAGATATTCAGATGGTAGGGTCAGAATTTGGCGTCAACAACATGAAGCATGGATCCACCCTGCCTTGTATCAACAGTTCAGGCTGGTGGTGGTGATGTAACGCTGTGGAGGATGTTTTCTTGGCACACTTTGGCCCATTAGTACCAACTGAGCATTGTGTCAACACCACAGCATAACTGAGTATTGTGGCTGACCATGTCCATCCCTTTATGACCACAGTATATCTTCTGATGGCTACTTCCAGCAGGATAACCAGTCATGTCAATAAATCATCTCAGACTGGTTTCTTTAACATGACAATGAGTTCACTGTGCTCACATGGCCTCTACAGTCACCAGATCTCAACCCAATAGAGCACCTTCGGGATGTGGTGGAATGAGAGATTCGCATCATGGATGTGCAGCCGACAAATCTGCAGCAACTGCGTTATGCTTTCATGTCAATATGGACCAAAATCTCTGAGGATTTTTTTTAGTACCTTGTTGAATCTATGCCACGATGGTTTAAGGCTGTTCCAACCAGTTACTAGTAAGATGTACCTAATAAAGTGGCCGGTGAGTGTATATATATATATATATATATATAAGCTATATAGCCAATAGTGTTTAATTTTGAACACAACTAGGAATGGTTGAGAACAATAATAATTCCCTTTAAAATGTCATTTTGTTGAATAAACAAGTTTTCAATGTTTAAAGTTATATTTTACAGCTACTCTACACACATAAAATATAATAATGGCACCCACCTAGTAAATAAGCAAAAAGTTTCAGTGAAAACAAGACATTTTTGCTCAATGCTGTTCTACTATTATAGTTTGGCATGCAGATATCAGCAGGATTGAAGTGGATATTGAAAGTGGTTTTTGACAGACATTGCAATAAATGTTGTATGCACAAGAGAGCTGTATTTTTAAAGGGCAGCATAATTTGAGTGAGGAAAGCGTTATTGTAGCAGACGTTGCTTGGATGGTTTTTGGGCTTCGGGGAGGAAACTGGAGAGCAGCAGTGATGCACCTGAGCGGGTCAAGACTGCAGTACATCAGGGTGGACAACTGTGCAAAGTGATTCACCACCGCAAACTGCTTTTCTGGACACTCATTATTTAGCAGTGATCAATGATGCTCTTGGCATTTATAATGTGGGAATTAATGTCTCATATCAGCTTACACAAAACAATATAATGCGACATTTATGCTCAGGCTTACTGACCCTTTTATATAGACCCTTTATATAGAACCTAAATTAGCCATAAGAAAATATTTTAGGTCAGTAGCAAATAAAAAAACATTCAAGCCTTGTGTGCTGCTGGGGATGTTTTCATCCACTCTGGGGGGATTTTGAGTCTTAATTCGGCCACAACTTTCTCTGTGTTTTAGCAAATCAAATGATTTTGGTGCAAATCTTATTTTGACACATAGGTTGGGAAAATGCTTTGAAAATTAACAAAAACCCTCAACAATACACTCTGGGCAAATTTACTACATCTTCGTTATGTTCATGGATGTTTTTGCTCTATTGACTTTTATTATAAGCAAAGCCGTGCCACCATTTTATTATATAGTTTAGCCCCCCTAAATTATTAGACCCCCTGTTCATTTTTTTTCTCCAATTTCTATTTAATGGAGAGAAGATTTTTTCAATACATTTTTAAACAAAATAGTTTTAATAACTCATCTCTAATAACTGATTCCTTTTATCTTTGCCATGATGACAATAAATAATATTTTATTAGATATTTTTCAAGACACTTCTATACAGCTTAAAGTGACATTTAAAGGCTTAACTAGGATAATTAGGTTAACTAGACAGGTTAGGGTAATTAGGCAAGTTATTGTATAACGATGGTTTGTTCTGTAGACAGTCAAAAAAAATTGCTTAAACGGGCTAATAATTTTGACCCTAAATTGGTTCATAATAAACGGCTTTTATTCTAGCCGAAATTAAACAAATAAGACTTTCTCCAGAAGATAAAATATTATCAGACATAGTGTGACAATTTCCTTGCTCTGATAAACATAATTTGGGAAATATAAAAAAAAAGAAATTCCAAAAAATCTAAGGGGGGCTAATAATTTAGACTTTAACTATATATTATTTATTGTTGCTGGTTTTTCCTGTTAGGAAGAGGTGCAATTTGTAATGTTTACTGGTGATCATCAGTTGCATAGCAAAGAAAGACAACCGATGATCAATAGTAAAAATGACAAATTTTACCTCTTTCTAACATGGAAAACTACCAACACTCAACAATGCATTATTATTTGGTGTCAAGGCTTTGCAATTAAAAATTTTGTTATAATAAAAATCAAAAAGGCAAAAAACGACCATGAAAATAATGAAAGGGTAGTAAATTTAAACAATAAGGGTTAACATGTTCCTTAGCTGAGTGGCTAGTAATGTTGGAAAACTACTAGCCAAAGTGGCTTGTGATGAAAAAAGTTAATGTCAAGCCTTGGTTTTAATAAAAACAGTAAAAAAAAAAAGTGCTTTTCAAATGTTAAAAAAATGTTCATTCCCTTAAAAAAGCAGTTTTTAGTGTTTTGGTGTCAATATTGACCCAAATATGTTACTGAGATTCTAAATTACAAAAAGTGTAGATTTTTCACACACTTGCACTGCTGTAAAGAAGCTTTTTTTTTTTTTTTTACAAACTGAGAAACAACTCAATATAATTTATATTGACACATTTCATCTAATAAAACAACCCAAACAGGTTTCCCCGAGGAACACACGCTGTGATTTCAGAGCATTTATTATTGCACTATGATTTTGGAATAACACCAGATATGCACACCTCTGCAGGCATTGAAAATCTCTGTGTTTTGCACTTACATTCTGATGTTGTTGTCAAAGAAACAGCGGTTGCGGAGAAGCCCGGCCCAAAGCTGCACACCTACAATCCCGAAGATGAAGAACACAAAGAAACAAAGCAGCAAGACGTTTCCCAGCATCGGCA